CATCAAGATTCTTTTTATTGATAATGCAAACATCCTTGGGTGTGGAAACAATATTCTGTTGAAAAGCTGTTTAGATATCGTCAAAGAGAAGGAAAACGTATCAGACTTAGTTACAAATAGAAGGAGCAGACAGTTGAAGTCATAATTCAAGGTTAGTTGGATGTGGTTTTTTGCACTGAAATTTCTAGATGCTTCTTAAGTGTTAGGAATATTTCGGTTAGATTCAGATTATCGGGGTAATCGAAATGGATCATTTTACAATTCAGGAGAAAGAAGAAAGAAACTATTTTAACACCGGTGATTTTCAAATAATCAAAACCTGTTTAGGGCGCCAACGACCTCATTGAAAGTAAAAAGAAATTCATTGGCAGCGCTCTTACCTAAATTGTAATGCAGAGGCATTCGAAGTAGTTTACGTATTATAATAAAAATATAAATTTCGTAGATATTTACCGTAAATGTCTTTAAATGGAATAAAGTTAAACAGTGCATTGCGGAAAAATAGAGACGTGCATTTGTTCTTGCATTTAGTAAAGGCATTTAACAATCAGAGAGTAATCTTTCCTGTAAGAAAAGTTTGGAAAAACAGCGGAGTTCCACTGTGCAGTATTTCCAAGGAAGCATACATACCCAGTCTTCCACAAGAAAGTTCATTAAAATCCCCAAAAGCAGTTCAGTTTTTCCAAAGAAAAACAATAGCATACAGAAAATTAGTCATCGTGTATCGAATCCGGATTGCACGGTTAGATAACCCCTACTCTGGGAACTCATAAAAAGGTGTTCTGAATTTAGTAGAATGCTTCCTGTATGCTCTAAAAAACTCACAAATATTCGGTGTCTCCCACTTAGAAGTTTTAGGCCAGAAATGGTTGGCGCCCAGTTATAATGCCGACACATGGCAGTTTACTGATAATTTCATAAACGCATTTATTGATCCCAAAAGACAAATTTTTCATAGTACTGACTTGTAATAAAAAATGACTTGAGTCATCAGAATGTCCATAGCAGGGGTATTGTGCACTATCAAGGCAACTGAGATGATTGACGATAATTGGAAAGATTGCGAGTTTTCAGCGATATTTGCTCGTTATATCAATTAGGAAGAATTCCACCGCAGCTTTAGCTATGTGAAACAAAGCATTGTCTAGAGTCCTTATCAATTCCTGAAACTGATTTTCTTAATCATTGCAGCGTTCAACAATTCAAGGCAGATGTTTCCAGCACTGTATTTCTTTTATTTTTCATCCCTGATCCCTCTGCTCATGGCTGTTGGTCCCCAGTGTAACACAGCTGAGCAATCTGTGAGTGGAAAGGCTCTCAAGGGTCACACCTATAAAACAAAAAGGGTGCAAGACCCGTACGAATGTTTGGTGTTTTGTAACAATGAAGTAGCATGTCAGAGCTACAATTATGTCATAACTGGTAAAATATGCGAGCTGAACGACAGAACTAATGAAGAGAAACCTGATGATTTTGTCCACGATGGGACTAGGTTTTACGTGAGAAAGTGGAAAAACAGAGGTAGGCACATATCAGTACTTGAACCAATTCGCGCACGCAGTTATTTTAAATGCCGAAGAAGGTACCGCATCGTTACGCAAAGGGCCATGCAAATGGCAATGAGTGTGTTATGCTGTATATTTGAGGCAATACATCACGGAATAGCTCTAGGTCCCTAAAAGGTGAGGGTGATAGATGTGCAGTAGCTCTAAGTCCTAAAAGGTGAGGGTGACTGATGTACAATAACTATAGGTATCTTCAGGTTACGTCACACAATAGATATGTCTTAATTGCTGAAAGGGGTTGATCACCAAAAAAAAAAAGCTGTAAATCTGTACAGCTGAAAGGGGTTTGAAGAGTTATCAATTTCTTCCTTTAAATATGTTGTCAGTGATCTTTACCCAGTTGACATATATCGTCAAAACTTTGAGATGATATTCCGTAAATTGATATCATTTTCTTTCTTCTCGTCGCCGTGACTTGAAATTATACTGATATCGAGAGGATAAATCCATTTGTTATGACTCCTGGGAGAGAAAGTCGCGAGCTTTTATGGGCAAGATTTATAGACTTCAGCTATGTTTCCATCTGAGATTCGACTCGTCAAAACTTCGCATTTTTTGTATCTCTCAGCAGTTTGTGCCCCCGTAGGAGTAGAAGATCCACATATAATACCTGACGCCCACATTACCACAAGTTCTTATTTTCTGAGTTATTATGCGCACATGGGACGGCTGAATGGAGTAAAAGGTTGGTGTCAGAAAACTACTACAATCACCGATGACTACATACAAGTTGATATGGGAGCGTTGCACACTGTCTGCGCGATCGCAACGCAAGGAAAGAAAAATGGGTCATTCGTCAAAAGCTACAAGCTGTCCTTCTCTTCTGATGAAAGCAGCTGGAGTGTATATCAGGAACAAAACATTGACAAGGTTTGAAATAATACTACTTTAATCTTTTCTTGCCTGTTTTATTTATTAATTTTTTTTTTTAAATAGGTATGCTAATCGTCCTAATAGGATGAATTTACGACAGTCACATGTCAGCTTTTGGGGTTTAAATCGCGAGAAAAAAAGGCTCTTTGATGTTATCGAAGATGATTATAAAATACTTAATATCCTACGGTATTGGACGAGACACGTGTAAGTCATTTCATGGTAATAATACTCAGTTATACATCTCAGTTAGTATGTTGCGCTTTGACCAGTTAGTTAAGAGGGCCGTATTCAATAGTGCGGCCTACTAAATTTAAAAGTTGTTTGAATTAAAATCTTCCCCTCTATTTGAACTTGAAATATAATAAATTGTCTTTTCATCCTTGCTTCGCGCTTGGGTGGGTCATAAGACCGTGCGAAAAAACAAAGTTCCGTTAGTTACGATACAGACCAATAAAAGGAGGTAACGGAGATTGTTTTTTTGCATCGCTGGATTCAAATGGAGGGTGGGAGATATCAATTCCAACAAACTTTTGAATTTGGCGGGAAAGTTAGTGCAATTGGGTGCGCTGTTTTGACCAATGATAGCACACGTATTAACTCAACGATATAATGAAGGGTATTCATTCTAGCATTTGTGCGGCACACAATCTGAAAAAAAAGGGAAGTAAAACTGATCTAAAGGCGTGCATCTTCTCCACCGACGGGAAACCACTTTTCCAGATATCTCAAACTGGAAACATTACTCAGCAACTCAACGAAAAGTTATACCAATGAAATCGTCACCGACTGACTCCGTAATGAATCCGCTCTCACTTTCCGTGGCTTCATGAGGTGTAATTTAAGGGAGTCGCTGTAGAGGGGGAGGGTAGGGTGATTCTGGGTGATGTATGACTAACTTCCTTCAAGATAAAAAATTATGATTAATTAGGATGATAAGACAAATCTGCCAAATGTTTTGTGTAGGCCATTACACGTGACATGTGATGTCTGAATTTTAATTTTGTGCTTGCAGATTTTCCAAGCGAATTCAGACTTGAACACCGTGGTACAGCATACACTGAATAACCCAGTCCACGCAAGGTTCGTTCGTTTTTATCCCGTCACCTTTAATAATTTCCCTTGTATGAGGGTTGAGGTGTTTGCGCAGTGAATACAGAATCATCTCGAGTGATTTTTTTTTCTGGAATAAAATTACTGTTTCCACGAGCTATGCAATACATTTGTTTCATTTCTTTGGTTCATTAGCGAGTAGTTAAGTCTTGGGTGCTTATAAGATGAGTAAAGTCTTGTCTTTTAAGTACTAAGATTATTCCTTGTTTTGAAAACAAGTTTAAAAAGATCATAAAAGGATAGATAGTTAACGTCGACGTATGATTCTTTAATATATTAGATGCACCAGGACCATCCGAAAAAGTGAAAACTTTGTGCTACAGTCGAACCTCGGTTATCCGGACTCGTTAAGGCTGGCCTAAATAGTCTGGATAATCTTGAGGCAGATGATCGAAAATACGAATATTCATGACAAATATAAAACTAAGTAGGTATCCCTTTCATGGGATTCACATGTCCATACCATCATCGCAAAAGCCAACAAGCTACTTGGGCTTCTAAAGCGTACATGCCCTTTTCTGACCGATGTTTCAGTCAGGCGGTCCCTCTATCTGGCTTTGGTAAAGTCACAACTGTGCTATGCAACGCAAGTGTGGTCCCCAGCCCAATTCAGTCTCAAAAGTCAGCTTGAAAGAGTACAAAGACGTGCAACAAGATGGATTCTAGGCACCAGAATTGGGGAAATGAGCTACCGAGACCGGCTTATCAAGCTGAATTTGCTCCCTCTCGCCTACGACCGCGAACTTAAGGACCTTGTGTTTCTTTACAAATGTCTGAATAACTACACGGATCTAAACATCCTTAACTTTGTTTCTTTTATTTCCCACGGCCGCACCAGACGAAGTAATTCCTTCAATCTCACAACACCTTCGTGTAAAACAAGTACCTTTCAGGCCTCCTATTTCAACCGAACTGTTAAACTCTGGAACTCTGTATGTACCTTATCACCCCCGTCCAAGTTTTCTAACCCGACCGCCTTTCAAACTTTTGTAGCTAAACACATGTTCTCTCTTGTCCGTTCAGTTTTTGATGTTAATAGTCCGTGCACGTGGTCAATTGTTAGGTCGTGTCCCTGTCATTGATTTTTAGTTATCTAGCACTTTTTCACCGTAGGTTTTTACATTTTTCATTTTTTTTTTTTTTTAAGGGTAGTGCCCCGCATGGGACTCCATGTCCCGTTCGCACTGACCCTTTTGGCGTATGTCTATCCATTTTTTGTCTCTTTCCTTGTATACGTATTCATTTTGAGCTTGTAGACGTACCCAATAAAGTTGTTAAATAAATAAATAAATAAGTATCATGTATTCAATACATATTAAACAAGAATAAAAGTACATTCCAAATCATTTAGCATCATTGTTTAAATTTGCCAAAAGCATATACAAGGATAATGATATAAAATGCTGAAATGAATTAAGTTTTTTCTAGCTGCTACAGCATATGCACATCGCTAATTCTAACATTCCGCTGGGGCTTAGTAATTTCATTGATAAGACGTGTGATTTAATACATCGCGAGCTCCGCCTTCTTGGTTTGGCTTTAACTGCATCTCTCGTCAATATGCCCAAAGAATAGTAACGAAACACGTCTCTAAAGCTCAGACCGAGAATCGTTGTTAAAACAGCTCCAATTATATTGGGTTTTATGAAGGCTATTAACAGATTTTTATCAACACTCCCACTTTACCTTCTTTCCTAATCATATCCCATTAATAGTCTTGCAACTAAGATGTTATCTCGTAGAATACCTCCAGATTAGTCGGGGTAAATAATTCACTCCCTGAGAAGAATACGCACTTGGTGAACGAAATGTAACCAGTAGGGACACCGTAAGTAGAGCCGCATGTGGTGAAGGAATTTTGAATGTTGCCAGCGTTGTTTCGTAGTTGGATGTCATGTCGCCCTTGATAACCCCCAAATGTTGGTCCATAACTACTGCAGCGGTAGATTGCATACCCTTGATACCGGTATTGAGCTAGTTTAACAGGTTTATAACCATGCACGTTGTAAAGCGAGAAAATGAAGGCTTTGGCAGCCGATGTGTACCCACAAGAATCTGCAGCCAGAGAAAATTTGTTAGAGGAAAGCTTAGTGAAGTGAGATGGTAGACAATGTCTCCTGAGGGTCTTTACAGTTTACTCATAGAGCGAGAGTCTTCCTCCCCAACCCCCTCCGTCTTTGCCAGGGGTGTTAACCTTGGTCATAACATCTTTCTGAACAGTAGATAACTAACAACCTAGTTTGTTTTTATCTTGATATGGACCAGCGTTCATAACCGTGGTTTTTTTCGTCATGACTTCGAGATTAATTTTTCAAAGATTGTTTGTTGTACAACTCTTTTACTTTAAACTGTGTATAATTTTCCTCTGTTTGCAGCAGCTCATTAAGGAGTGCTTTGGGTCTTTAAAGATTTTCAATCTTAGTTCTTGTAGTTGCTTCAATCGAATAGGGAAATCTCTTCGCCATAAGATTTTGTAACGGAGAGACAATTACTTTAGCTTCCACCAAAGCTGCCGAATGCTTCAAATTTTTAATTTTCTAAACTCTACTTTTCCTTGTCAGGCCTCGTCTTGACCTTTTGTTTTCGGACTCCATCCCGTGCCATCCGCCATTTTCAGCTTTTTAAAGGATTTAGTTTGATTAAATGAGTTTGCTTTTTACAAAAAAAAACATTTCTGATTCCATCAATATTCGACACTACGTGACTATGCCGGCCGTCCCACCAGTGCTATAAACTGAGGAAAACTACATACCTCTCACAACACCTATTTCGTTATTGGCAGCAAACAGTAAGCCGTTCGTAAACATTTTTTTACGCGTGTTGCAAAATACTTGAAGGATAATAAAAACAAAAGCATCTATTTTGACGCGAAAATATGCACGGATATCTGTCCATGGACACTATCTGTTTTTTTTTTTTTTTCACAGTGGAGAGGGACAGGGAGGCGGGAACCCAGGAGAACAAGGGGTGGGAGAGGACGGGAAGCAGGAGAACAAGGGGCGGGAAGCGGGGATCTATATGAGGGTGGGAGGCGAGAGCAGAAATAAAGAAGGCAATAGTTTGTTGTTTATTACTGGGCATCATTCAGTTAAAAACACTTATCTAGCAAAGTTTTAAAATTCCCATTTAACATCCACCAATGCTTAAAAGAAAATTTTGGGAGCAAGACTCGGGTTGGAAAAACAGCATTACTTCTGGTGAATTTGGAAATCCCTTCAATTCGATTACGTCAGAGGTCATGAGATAGCATGCCACTTGACACATGTGTCATGCTATCTCATATCTATTCAGAAAATGAACAAGAATATTAAGTTTTGGTACAGTTTGAAAGTTAACCCGGGTTTCTGATCCTCTTCATTCACCTGAAGACGGGAGTAACACAATGAAGGGTGGGAGTCGGGAGGCAAAGGGGCTCAAAAGTACGGGAGGCGGGAGAACATGGTACGGGAAACGGGAGACTCTACCCCACTGCCCCCCCACCTAACAGCTTTCTCGAGTTTCGCTTTAAGGAAAATGTGAGCATCTTAGAACAGATAATGTCGGCGGTCAAATATCCGTGCGTATTTCCGCACCAAATAGAGAACTTTGTTCATCTAGCCACCTCCTCTTTGGTGAATAGTTAACAACTGACTAAAAATTCATACTTTGCCAAGACACGTCGGTATATCCACCAAATGTGTAGTTACCGACTTGAATAATGGAAACAGTGGGTCCCTTTCCATCACATTTCGAATGAAATGTTGTTGAATCCCAGCCATCTGTCTTGGCGTGATAACATCTAACGAATCTACTCGAGGAAAGGTTAGTCAGGACTGAGTCTAGGTAAGACGAAAGAGTGCCAATGTAGTATTTTGGTGAGTTGTTCAGAATGCTCGATGATGCGAGGCCACCTGTTGGTAAAAAACCACATTATAATCTGACGGCACTAAATCTAAATAGAAATTATCCTCCCTGCAATGTAGTTATAGGGGGTGGACAAAAGTCCTTTCCCGCATCTTTTAACGCCTAGAAATTAAATTAAGCTGTACATATTTGAGTAGCCAAGACTTATAAGGCCGGTCGTTTACACGAGATCTAACCCAAACCACAGTTTTATGCAATCAGTGGGCGTAAGGCTTTCCCTATAAGAGGGTTGATTCTATTAAATGAATGTCCTTCCACTCTTAGCTCTCGGCCCTTTCAACACTGTTCACAAGTATAAACGGCCCCCATAGACGTATTTTGATCTTAAGTGGGACGAATATGAAATATCGAACATTCTCTACGAACACATTAATTTCAAACACCTCCAAGCATCTCGTTGGCCATGCCCCTAATCTATGAATAATTTTGCTGCTATCTTTCTCATTTGACCTATCAGACGAGATTTAACTAATTTGCGGAAGGCTAAGTGAGAAATTGAACGAAAGCTTTAACAAAAAAGGTAAGAAGATCGAGGGTTCATGTCTTTGTGTTGTGCTTAATATATCATTTTGTACCAGAACAATTGGGAAATCGATGGTTCATGTTCACTTGAATTCACTGCTGTTCTAGGCGATACTTACGGTCACTTGTGCAAATATATGAACCCACTGTATTGCTGCAGTAGCTATTGGCCTCACAATAGTACAAGTCGTATTCACACTCATCAACATCTAGAAAGAGGTGAATTGTTTTTTAAAAACGCGGAAAATAATTAAAATAGGTATTTTTTTTTTACTTGTTCTTCAACCATGTTGTACCCGTATATCGTATCGCTCTTAGTTGCTCTTAATTGTATAGCCGAGATAAAACCAAAGATATAAAAGGGAAAAAGTGTAACGTCCCGTTACCGTCAAATGTCACTTTTTTTGGTTTATAAATAAGGCGAAAAAGAAAAAAATTCTTGATGATATTTTGAAGATAATCATAAGATACCAAATATCCCATGGTATTGGACGAAGCACGTACCAGTCATGTTATGTCAATAATACTCAGTACAGATATCTCAGTTAGTATCTGCGCTATGATTATTCAAGGACGTGGGCCGTATTCCTCAGTAAGTATTGCTAATTAAAAAGGTATTTGAATTCCCCGCTTAGTTGCTTTTATTTTATAGCCGAGGTAAAACCGAATGTACGAAAAGGATGGAGAAGTGTGACGTCATGTTACAGTAGAAAGCGGAAACCCCGCCATTCACTAATTCTATCCCTTTTTTCAAATGCACGCATACTCAATGCATTCAAAGACGAGTCCATGCTCTCGGTTTTCACCGGGGGCGAAGTCTTAGTGCTACATGATATATATCTTAAAAACAAATAACAAAAACAACAGAAAACAGTTAAAATATGTTATGTCTTATCAAGTCTCTAAAGTTTGCCTGTTCAAGTATTAGACTCTCTGAAGTTTGACAAATTTAGTCAAACAAAATTCTCGTAGTTCTAGATGAATAAATTTCTCCTTTTCCCTCGAAAAGTTCAGGTGGCCACAAAGTTTCCTCTTCGAAATTATTGTTTTTCATTTCGTTGTGGTAGATAGGAGACTTTGAATAAATTAAGCTTTAGTTTAGCCAGTCTAGGTTTTAAAAAGATTTGAAATCAGAGGCTTATATAAACTATAAGTTACCTTCCGTTTTCATGTCACAGTAGGCGAATGTTGCCGTGTCCGTCCAGGGATTATAATACCAGTATTTGCCGCTAACTGTTTGCTCTCCTTCACTCAACTTGATTTCCCTACAGTTTTTAGCAGGAAGTTCAGGAATAGAGCCAAGAGCAGCTGTGTAGAAATGATGAAATAAAATAAGATAAAATGAAAGGAGGTAATTTTGCTAAAAAGTATGTGGTGAAGCTCATCCAAGAGAGATGGTTTTTAAACTTTACTTTCCATAGGGGAACTTGCATCGTAAGACGAGCAAGTAGACTACATTTTTATCGTGTATTTTTAGTTGTCCGGAGTAATTTTCATTGGTCTGTCAGGCAGGAATTTATTCAGCTGATGACACACTTTTTGATACTCATGGTTATCTTAATATTTTATCATTGAATATCCATGGTCGTCAGCTGATATTCCTTCGCTCTCCATTGCTCTTTTTTTCAATATGGGGGACAAACATCAGCGTCATATCAAGTTCAAGGGTTATGTCAGGGTGTGTTATTGTCCTGGGTTATTACTTTTTACTCAGGTTATAACTTTTTATTGAAAACTGGATCATTGAGGTAAATGCGTTTTCACTGGCTTAGCCATCAAGGGTTATGAACCTTTATACCATAATTTGTACATTGTGACATTGTGTTCATTTTCAAAAAATAAATCTGGCAAGATTTATCTATATTTGGGATGTTTAGCTAATGAAACAGTTATTCCACCCACGTTTGTTGGATATGAAATAATTACAGACTGTACGGCTCTAACGGCGTCGCTGGCTATCTTTGATCTCATATCCAACAAGCGTGAGTGGGATAATTGTTTATTATGAAAGGGAGGTTTTACCTTATAACCTGTATTAGTCGCGCCTCACAGGAGTCAACAATATGGTACTTGCGTGACACTAAAGTGTTTGAAATTACCTCTATTTTTTGATTTTTCATAATAGTATCGTTCAGAACTCGGCAAAAAGTCTGCAGGTCTGGCTTTCTTCGTACGATCATTCAACTCGCATGTATTTTTTGAAATGACGTAATTAAAGCTTTGACATCTGACGTCACCCTCACAAGCCTGGGAACACTCAAACGGGAGTGCCGTCTGTAGGGTTTTGAAGATGTTTCCACGCAGCATATAGCCATAAACAGAGTTATCGCCGCTACACGTCTGAGATACTATTCTAGAAAATTGATCGGCCAGCCACAAGATCACGAACACTGTTTGTAACTTTGTGAAAACCTGCATCTTGGTATGTGTAACCTGGAAACAAAAAAATTACTCTCCAGCGAACAGCGACAGTTGATTTATAAAGAAGTTTAACTGAGAAAGGCTTTGATTATGAAATAAATTTTACAAAGAAGAAAGTTTGATAATAAAACAAAAAAACAAAACAAAACAAAATAAAAAAAAAAGTACGGCAGAATCAAACGATTTGCACTCTAAAATGGATTGTATGCATCGCATTCAATAAGTTCTGGCATTTTCTTATGCTTGTTCTGACAAGTTCTAAACATTGTTTTAAATGTCTACAAAACTAGACAATCATAATGCTTACAGAAGAACAAGTCAATATAACAAAACGGGAAACTTATGATACTTGCATTGTCAACTGTAGGTATACTAACAATAAAAAATACAGTACTATAGTATTGCTTACAATACAACATAACATTGAAACATTCTTTAGAAACTTACCCCCTTCAAAATTTTCACTGTCCGTTTAAGGGCAGGATTTAGTCGCTCAAGAATCAGTTGGTGTCAATTCTACCGTCTTCGAGAAGAGCCTTATCTAAAAAGAAAATTAGGAGAATAAAAACGTTGTTTGTGGTTTGATTTATTCCCTGGTGAGTTCACCAGATCTCCTGCCAGAAGTTACTATAGTAATCTAACTACAAATGCAAATACGGCGAGAGGTTCTACACGATTGGAGTACAACTTGAACGGCAATTGAAGTATCTTTTGAGAATACACCGCTCTTTCTCTCCCTTTTACCGTCGTTATGACCCACGCAGGATTTTTGGAGAACACCAGAAATGTTTGTAACTCACGAGCCAAAGGCGAATGATTTATAAACTTCTCGGGTCAAAATTAACTTAAAAGAATTTTCAATTTTCTATGGATTGATGATTCAAATTCACCTTTCACTGAAAAGCATTATAGCGACGATTTCTGAAACTTGAATCATTCAAGGTTGAGTCCTGAATGTAATCTCTACTCTCTATTCTATTCTCTCTGAATTTCTACAGGAGACTAACTTGGAGTGATTAGGAGGTGAATTTTCCTAGGAGTTATTCCAAAAAATAGATTAACAGCAAAAATACTAATGTCTTTTGCCAAAGCTGCGAGTTTATTGAAGTTAGGAATCCATCAATTTGCATAAGTTTGGATGACAGGACTACTTCTGAGGAATTGTATTCCTGATCAGGAATTTTTTAAAAATTGGTTTGCTAATTTTATAATACAGATTTATTTTGAGTTCATCTGTCATGCATCGCATGGCCAGAGTTCTAAAGAACTATTTGGCTGTTCAGAATTATTTGGTTTTTGTTTCAAAATAAAGAATTCAAAAGCTTAGAGTCAATGTGCAATGTGTAAAGTTGGTCACAAATCGGACTGAGAAGAAAGAGCTATACTGCAACAGAATTATTTGGTTTTGGTTTCAAAATAAAGAATTCAAAAGCTTAAAAGTCAATGTGCAATGTGTAAATGTTGTCACAAATAGCACAAAGAACTTAAAACGTTACTGCAGACAGAATTCTTTAGTTGTAGATTCAAAATTAAGTATTGAAAAGGTTGAAGACAGCCTTTACGTGTAACGTGTAATTGTTTTCACAAATTCGACATAGAGGAAAGAGCTGTAATGTCAACGGAATTCTCTAATTTTGCTTTCAAAATAAGGATTTTTAGAAGGATGAGATCAACCTTAAGGTGTAATGAGTACATTTTGGTACTGATGCGACGAAAAGGAAAAAGCTGTACGGTCAACGGAATTATTTAATTTGCTTTTAAGATAAAGTTTTTAAAAGGTGAGGCCAAACTCGTGGTGTTATGTGTAAATTTTGGTGCAAATTGGACAAAGAAGAAAGAGCTGTAATACAAACGCAATTCAAGTTTTGGTTTCAAATTGAAGCTAACCTTAATAAGAAAATTTTGTCACACATTGGACAAAGAAGAAAAGAGCTCTGATATATATATATATATATATATATATATATATATATATATGTATGTATGTATGTATATATTTATATTTATATTTATGTCTGAAAGTTATGTCTTATTGATTTGTCCAACTTTCAGATATGCCACGCTCTGCGAACGCATCGAGCACTATACTGCAAGGATAGACTACAATCAAGATTTATTTATATATATATGTATATATAAAATGTAGGTTTCAAAAAGAAAAAGGAAAATTAGTTATATAAGACTTGAAGTTCTCAGACACTCATTATGAATATTTCAGGTGTCGGGAATGTTTTGGGTTCTTCGTGAATATTCTATGGCGTCACGTTTTCGTCTCAAAGAGACGAATGCGCTGGAAATTAATTTTCTCTGTGTATTGTATAAGTAAAAAACAACGTCAAACTTTCTTCAGTGCCAAGTTCATATCGCAATTCTGCTCTATTTGGACACCAAATGATGTTACACTTTATTAATGAAGAATGAATTCAAGCGATGTTTGACGTTAGAAACCAAGAAACAGTAAAAACTGCTGCTCTTAACGATTAACTATTAACACAAGGGATTGTATAATCGCTAGCATTTGCAAAACTGAACGCGCTTAAAAATGTGCCATAAGATTTTAAAGCATCGAGGTAAATTTTCGATTTTAAAGAAAGACCCACTCAAAAAGGAAAAAAAAAAGAAGTTAGTGTAGGTCTTGACGAGATGTGAGCGCCACTAAGCAAACACGATTTATTTGATGACTTGAAAGTAAACGATAAAGGAAGTTAATGTGGTTTGAAGCCTTCCAAGCACCCGGTTTATAATATCTAGTACATCTACGAGTACTTTTTCCATCAACTTACCCCATACGACATGTTCTTCTCTCAACGATAAGTCTCTCTCCATCGCAGTTCTCGCTTGAGTGAAATGATGTTTATCCTGTATTGCTCTTAAAATTACATCACAATCAATAATTAAAGCAAGTCACAATGGTTTTCAATACTATCCTCCGCGCAGGATCTCAACCTACGTCACTAAGACAAGGAGCAGACTAAATTAATTTACCTCTTATGTTTCGATGGAAATGTCACATACAGGATGTGATGTTTAGTCTTCTTTTCGCCACTGACAAAAAAACATTGCTTCCTAAACAATGTTATTGATAAAATACGTTAGAAATGAAGATTGTGAAAAAATGTTTGTACATAGAGAGCTCTTGTTAAGACTCTTAAAAAATTAACAGGGGGCATATTAGTTGAAATTAAAAATATAAAAAAAAGCTTAACTTTACACTTTCACGTTTTTGTACAAAAATAAATTTCAATCAACTGATTCGTGCGTTTTATGAATTATCATGTGAAAATGTTCATGTGAAATTCATCACCCGCCTAAACATAGTTATGCAGAGAACGATCTAATGAACTATCTTATTGACTACACGGATAATGTGCTTGACGCCCACCCACAAACCGTCATTGTTCTGGGCGGAGATTTCAATCATTTGGACATGGATGGATTACAACAATTGTCTGGCCGGTATGCACTAGTTGATTTCCCGACGCCCGGCGATTCACACTTGGATAACTATTTAACGCACCGGCCCGATTTGTTCGCAAAGTATTATCCTCTTTACGTGTCAACAAAATCGGATCATCGAGGTGTGATTTTGCCAGCAAGATCTAAACTTTGCCCTGTGTGTCGTAAAGTTCACACCCGGGACAGACATCTACATAGGAAACAGGATTTGTTCATGGCTTAGGTTGAAGAGGACTGGCCAGAGGTACTTGATACCAAGAATGTAAACGAGGCGGTGAACAAAGTGGAGGTAACCATACGGGGTCACTTGGATAGGTGTATACCAGAAACGGTAGTCACCATGTCATCACGTGACCCTGCCTGGATGACCCCTTTTGTTAAAGCCATGTTGAGGTCGAAGTCGAGGGTGTCCGATGAAGCTCGGCTGAAAGAGTTGAAGAAGAGGATTTTGGATGTGATCAGTGAGAACAGAAAGCGACATAAACAGGGTGTGATCGGCTCGAGGCAATAGTGGAAAGGCGTTCATCTGGTATCGCAGCGAAGGAATGCAGCCCTTATTACCTTAGATCGTGAGTCACTTAACCAGTTAAACGAGTACTTCGGCAAAATCTATGCAGTGACAATAACTACATTCAACCAGTTGATGTTCACATTGATCCAGATGTCAAGGCTCCAACAATCCCTGCGGGACTTGTCTGGAGCACTCTGTCTAATCTGAAGGAAACAGCAACCAGCCCGGACGAAATTCCTTTTTGGTTTTTTAAAAGAACATGCGGAACTACTAACTACAGTTATCTTTTATGTGTGGAATCTTTCCCTGTCAACTCATTCCTGGCCTGAATCTTGGAAAAGAGCGAACATCAGGCCATTACATAAGGTTGACGTACCTAAGGAGAATGGTGATTTCCTGGAAATCAGTGTAACACTGGTGATTGCTAGAGCTCATGAAAGGGCTGTATACAACACACATGTCAGACTCGTCATGGAGGATCACCTGAGCAGAGGCCAATTCGCGTACAGAGTTGCGTATAAAAGCGATCTAAACACAGTACAGAACTTTTTAAACATGTTACAAGCGGCGTTATATTTCAGTTCCATTGAATGTCAAGGATATCACGCATATGCAGGATAAGAAATTAGTGGAGCTAAGGCCCTAAGCCATCATTCGTTAAATAAAACTCTGCCGAAGCCTAAACTCCAGCAATATAATTTACGCGCAAGGTCTGCCTCCGCCCAAAGATTAACACAGAACGTTTCATGAACACATTTGTGAATAGACTAATTTTTGAACACAACCTGTTAAAATTACATTATTTAATTTTGGCCATAGTGTATTATTGTAGCTATTATTACACAGTTTCTTGCTTATGTAACATAGGATATTTATCTTTATCTCATGGTTTACTAAAGACTTCCATGACTTCAAAGAAATGGCCTCTTAGGAAATTGTGCAACAGCGTGCGTTTTTGATCTTCTTAATAAAGTAAGTACTTTTGTTGCAACTAAGATGCAAGCTCTGAAATGTTAGCATAATATACACGTTAAAAAGGGGAGATCACAGTCAAGTGTAACTTTCAATCCTAGATCAGTGTTAATCGCTTTCTGAAAAACTATGTCCTCCGGGTTTTTGTATATCCCATGTTTTCTTTTCCCTTAGTTTTCACTCCATTTCAAAGAGCTGAATTGTCTCTTACGCATAAAAATATTTTTTCCAACTCCTTCAGGTGGGATCGCCAATTATTCAGTATAATTTAGGTTCATGACAGCGAGTGATAGCGCCGGCAGATGGTTGACGAGGAGCGGGTTGTTTTGCAAAAAATACAGAAGTTGTTAGCCTTGATGATGATTATTGTCAATGCAGTAAGACAAACTTACACGTTCTGTCTCTCGTCCAAACTTGACTGCCGGCCAAACACATTAATATCAATCATTACAGCGAGTCAAAATATATTTATTTTCAAGGGCATAAAACATAATAGAACATGACTAGAACCATTCATTGGACCAAACCTACCATGTTTATGTTTCTAACCCGTTCTAATCACTGAAAACTGAGAATTGTGTCTATTTACCAACATATTTTCGTTGATCCTTTTTGAAACGACCAGGGTATACATTTTTACGAAAGAATCGTAAGAAATTACCGGCTTGGGTGAAAAAATTTTAAAGCAAATACAAAATATGTTATTTGAGTTGACAAGGGCATTCTCATGTTTACGTAACATTAACATACAACAAAAAATATGCAAAGTACACGCGACTTCTATCTTATGCACACATTCGGATCGGGTCTAGGGGCCTGTTTCGCGAAAGTTCCGTTAACTTAACGGACCCGAGACAATATTTTTAAATCAGAATTTTAAGATTGGTGCAGCATGTTCTGGCACTCTAATCAGTCCATTTTGTTTCTTTACCTACTATGTTTCATGTATAATTTTCACAACCAACATCTTGAATAAACATAGAACGGCTTTACAGGCCCGTTAGGTTACCGAAACCACCGAGAAACGGCCCGTAAACTACGCAGGAAGGGGTCGAAAACTTTTTAATACTTCCACAGTTAGGCCATGTCTGGCCTCTTTAAAGCATCCACCGACACTTTTACCATTCCGTCATGCAAGACTAAGGAGGGTTCATTCAGAAAAATTGCCCTGTTGTTGATTTTCTCATTTACTGCACGAACACTTCGATCCTCATACAAGGGTACTGAGAAAAGGTGACCGGATAAAATCGAATGTATCTTGCTTGGACTGGGTTATTCAGTGTGTGTTTTATAATGGTATTCAAGTCTGAATTCGCTTCAAAGATCTGCAATGAAAAAAAAAAAAAGGAGAAACCACTTAATCATAAGGGGAACTTTATTCTCAGTTAAGCTGCTTCAAAGAGATTCCCCCCTTCCCTGATACAGTTTGTTTACTAAATCTGTATTAAGATCTCATTGAATCCCTTAGCTGATGTCACTGGACGAAAAACCAAAATTCTGGTTACGTCAGTGTTGCCGAAACCTTTTTTTCCTTTGCGGAAACGTAACGGCTAACAAGTGTTTCCATAGACAGACATATTTCAGTCGCTGTGGACACAGCAGAACCGGACCACCTTTCTACATGTTTTTGATGGAGAAGAGGACAAGATCTGTTATCACTTTGAGAAAACGGAAAAACTCAAAATTTTAGAGAAAACCGAGATTACCCTTTATCCTGAAGGTTATTTATTATTCTTACATCAATTTAAACTATTCCCAACCGGTAAATCCTCCCTCAGCCTGCGCATGCACACAGAAAATACCTGACCGTCACGTTTCATACCTTTTCGACGTTTTGCTCTTTATATGCAGTCCAACTGGTACCATCAGTAGAAAAGGAGAGCCTGTAGCTTTTTATAAACGATCCGTTTGCCTTTCCTTGCGTGGCGACTCCGCATACTGTGCGTCCTGCTCCAATATCAACCTGTATATAGTCATCGGTGATTCTAGAAGACTGCTGACACCAACCGCTGTCTCCATTGAGCCGTCCTTTGTGTGGATAATAGCTGAGATAATTGGAACTCGCAGTGATTTGGACGTCAGGTATGATGTTTGGATCTTCTACTCCTAAAGCCTCGCAAGATAGTACAGCTGCAAGAAATGTAAATTCGTAACCATTTTGATGTTATCTCAACAAGTGCGTTGCACTGGTTATCAGATCTTTAACAGATTCTTCGTACGCCACGGTATTTTCTTTTGCGGTTTCCTAATAATTGCTACTTTAAGTGTAACATCGGTTTTTCAAACAAATGCAGATACCTCTTACCTCTGATAGTGGTCCGCACACCAAGCTACGGACTTCGTTTTTTCTGCTCGTATTTACGGTCCAAGCAAAAACGGAGAGGGTCATAAATCCGAGCAGAAAAAACAAGGTTCCGTACTACACCACTGACCGAGATATTTACCATGAGACAACGCGATAAATAGAGAATGATACATATCTACAAGCAACCATGTCTTACTTTGTTTATCATGTAAACACGATGGCCCTTAAGTGTCAAGAAAAGTCAACTTCATTAATGAATTAAAATAAAAGGATCGACAATCCCCAAGTAAAAGTAGTGAACTGCGTTAGGGTCAAGGCTACAAATGAAAAAAATACGTTCAAACATTCCAAAACATAGAAAATCCTCATTGATTGACTTGGTCGTTACTGACAGAAGAAATCTTTCAAGTTCACGGCCAAAATCGGTCTGTGACAAATTTATCGGTGGTCCGTTTTCGTTCTCAGCCGTGAGAAATACCAAAAGCCACTTAATACATAACTTTTTTCAATTAATCACTGTATCTAGGAAAGTTTGAAAGTTACTCTCTGTAAGCGATACGGATCTTTCAGTGTTTTAGCAGACATAATCTAAAACAAAAAGAATTCCGACAAACTACCTTGGATTGAGAATGGTGAAGGCTTTAGCCCTCGTTCATTCAACCTGACCGAGTCGCGCGAAGGGCGAGTAACGTGTCAGCAGCCGATTGGCGATATCAAACACACGTGAAAAAATACGACATCTTTTCAATTGTGTTTTTACAACTTCTCCTGGGGCTGAAAATCCTTCTATAACACCGTAGTTTATCTGATAAGTAAGATAATTCCTATAACTTTGGGCCCAAATAGAGGGGGAAAATTTCAATCGAAAAAAACTTGTTCAAGTTAAGGGTATCTACTGTGATTTACGGCCTGCTACGTTTATCGACCAAGGCGTACGTACCAACCAAATTCACTTACTAACTGAGATTCATTGTCTTCCTTGCTCTTTTGTCTTTACGTTCTCTATTTTGTTTTACGTAAACTGTCTTGTACACCAAGGACGAGTCCTATTTTGTCTTTAATACTCGACACAAATTGTTGATAACTGGGCACGCTGGCCAGCCAAGCCACTTTACCGTTTATTCACCACCAATATGCCTACCAGAGTTTATTACATTTACTTTTGAAGGAAATTAAATGCACCAAAAGGACACGAAAACCAGTGAAAACTAAAGAGATTTGGGGCGTTTAAGGGTTAACACGGCGAAAGCTGACCGTAAAATACCTCGCCCTACTACCGACCTCAAATTACAAACTACGATCCTATAGCCTTCCTCGGACCTCGCACCCGCCTCCAATCCTTAATACGTGCCGGAAAAATATTAATTTTTTTCAAATCACGTCTACTACAAATTACATTTTGCGTCAAGTTTCGCATGGTGCTGTACGGTGTATGATCAGCTTTAATGCCCTTTCGGCTAAATTCGTCCATTTATATCAATATAAAATTTTAAAGAATAAACTGACTGTACACCCTCTTACCAGTGCAAGTTGTCCCATCTGCAATAACTCCAGGTTTACAAGCACAAATATATGAGTCAGGGGTATTCTGGCAAATGGCATTCGTGTCACAGACAGGTAACGAGGCCTTGCATTCATCAGCATCTAACAAAAAATGATTGTATATACTGTACATATTAGAAATTAATTGACAATGGGCCCTGTGAATGTTTACGTAAAAATACCCACTCATACCTTCAAACCTCGCATTCACGGTCTACACTCAAGATTCTGAATGCGACACTACTGAAATCAAAGGTTTTCCACATGAAAACAACCAGATGGAGTTAAAGTTCCCGACAAATATAATGCCAAGTAGGCTTGGACCGATATTTTTCAGTAAATAACATCATCGTGCATAATAGCCATTCTATGATATTCAGCATATTATATGATGAAATATCAAATACTTCCAGGAAATAGATAAATAAATAAATAAATAAATAAATAAATAGGCGGATAAATAATTCGTGAAATGAGCGAAAGAGAAAGTGACTAATTTGTCATGTAGGGTAATAAGTAAATTCAAGCGGAAACAAGGAATGAAAGGTTGTGAATGATATTTTTCCCATTTGTGGTGGTTGTGAAAGGAACCAAACATTGTAGGATATTACAACTCGGCGTGGATCTTCTTTGCCAAAACGATTAGTGCTTGATCAAGATTTTTTTACACTGATGTCAACAAATACTAGTAATTGAGTTTTGTTACCCGCTGTTTCCATATCGCAAGGAACAAGTACTGTCTTCCCCTCTATAATGGAATCAAGCCAGTAATTGCCACTGTTCGCTTTCCCCTCTTCGCTTGCTTTTATCTCTCGACATGTTTCTGCTGGAAATTCAGGAATGGAGCCAAGAGGAACTAAGGACGGAGAATAGTTTTATCAGGTTCAAATTACTTCAATAACCGCCAGTGCTAGGGCTGCTTCTCGTTGAAACTCACCTCTTTTCTTATTACTCCTGACATAAAATCTTTCAGAATTTGGCACAAAGTTCTCTGGACTGGCCTCCTTAGTCCGGTTGTTTAGTTCACATAGCTCCTCTGAAATTACGTAGTTGAAGCTGTGACATCTGAAATCATTGTAACATGCTTGATGGCATTCAAATGCAATCAATGATCTCACTTTCTTGAAGGTGTGTCCTCGAAGCATCATACCAGAAATGGCATGCTCACCCTCTTTGCATTGTTGAGCGAAAACCTCGTACACGTAGCACAGTACAATAACAATGCAGAATCGCATCGACATTAGCTTTGGCTCGTCCTTTTCTGTAAGAGAAGTTTCATAGACTGACATTTTGGTGATTTGGGTGGGAGAACAAGCTATAATGCGAAAGGTTTTCAATCATGGTTGAAAATGCACCAGAAATTTAAGAGAAAAGGAAGAAAAATATAACAATCAAAGTGGGAATAGATATTGACACTTGAGATGCCGTTTGGACGACAGTTTTGTTCGTTGTAAATCCTGGTAACTTAAAGAACTTACTTGTTTATCGTACGATCCATGCTCTTTGCGTTTTTGAAACATTCATTATAACTTTTGAAGTGCAATATTTCTTTCCTATAAAAAGTATTTCTGCACGCCATAGGAGAGCGACTATCTGGAAACTTTGATTTAAGTGACGGGATTATTTTAAACTTTTTTTTACGATTAACAGTTAAAATTTGTCAAGTTTTACGCCTAACGGTTTAATTGTATGGCCGTTTTACGGCTAACGGCTATCCAGCAACCCCATGGAGACACTCCACCACCCTAAACTGGTGTCAAGCATAATTTTGTTTTCGCAAATAAAAACATTTTTTAAAATCGTAAAGCATATTTCAGCAGAATACTATTGTCTTTTGTTGACGTATTGTTTCATCCAAGATCAATTTTTGTAATTAACTTACACAATTCTGCAAAAGAGAATAAATCGAAAACAAAATTAAAATTTGACTGTCTCATCCATTAGGAGGACGCGCTGATACAATTTTGGGACTTTTTCACAATCATAAACAAAAAAAATTTAAATATGGCAACTTAGAAAATCATATAAGTTCTGCAAGCAATTTTAGAGTTTAAATGCTTCAGAATTCTATTTACATATTTTTTGTCTTTTGTAAAGGAGTTGTGTAAAGCTCATTAATTATTAAGCAGCAATCACAGTCTTCAAACACCTTCATGTCTATTCACGCTCAACCAAAAAGTAGCTGTTAGATTAGTGAAATGATTAAGAAGACTTGACTTGATAAACTTAGAGTTTTTGCAGTTCTAAGTCAAAAGTGATTTATAGAAATAAGTTATAGCGGAGGAAATACAAGACATGTTCATTAGCGCTTCTAATGGGTGATATTATTGTCCCAAATTAAACCCTTGTGATAACTGACTCAAATATCGATGGCTACGGCTTATTTTGATGTTGGGACAACATGCCGCTTATCAAGCCGTAAATGAAACAGTGTCAGTCTGTGGTCGCCGGGAAACAAGAACTAAATCAAAGTTGGAGCCGTGAACTATTTAAATTTGTCTTTTCCATCTTACTGAAAAATTTCTCGTTTGAGAAGAACGAAGATATCGAAAAATAACAGACTTGAGACACCTTTATCTTTTGAAAGAATTACAATGTACAGTTTCATTTATATGACATCTCTTCGAAAAAAAATTATATATGTACAAAATAAAGTCTTCATCTCAGGGTAAATCGTTAATTTTTAATCCCGAAAGTCGCCGTTATCTTCCTCTGACGAGTTAGTAGGATCAGTAGTTTAAATTGAAAAAAAGTCGCTTTAAGGTTACTTCCCACCTTCGCGGGTGTCCTTCCGACTTCCGACGAAAAAATTCGTACCCGCGCTAGTTTCACTAAAATCCAGCAAACTACAAATCAGAAGAAAGCTTAATTACTGCAGTGTGGAAGGAAGTGTTAGGAGCCGGTAAGGTGTTAAGCGACTGAGGGTTCTTCTGTTAAATTTATCAGTTATCGGATACGGCAACAAAAGCTAATATATTCTATAAATTCGTTCAAAGTGGTTGTATTCCCACCAAATTAAATGCGAGATTTCAATTTCATTTTAAGGCTGCGCCATTGTCGAGGTTTTGAGCACACAGAAAACGGTTAGCATCACAAAATAGGAGGAATTGTGGGAAAAAGAATGGTTAATCAGCAAATCGTAAGCAGATTCTTTAGCCAGTTTCTGTAGGCGATATAAATCCATATTCTGTTGATCAATGTAGGAAAATAAAGCTTTAAGAGCCCCTTCTCAACATACTTTATTTACAGAATCCCTGTGACTTTGAAGAATATTTACAGCTTTCAGGTTAAGTTCACTTCTTTACAATACTTTACAAAGCACAGCGGGTCAGTAATAAGTTGGAATCTTTGATAATGACATCTATAAAACAGTATTGTTTACCTAAATAACGACGCTGCTTAATTATTCATTTCATCTGAGTGATTAAGAGGCAGTCTCTCTAAAAGCCGTGCGGTGCGTTTCGGGTCAAAAAATCGATTTCTTTCAAACTTTCCCCCCGGAATCTACCTTAGTCTAAAAGTAATCGAAACCACCTTGGTTTTTTTCAAATATAGCAAAAAAAATTTTTTTTGAGCGAAAATCACTTCAGCGCTCAAACGCTAGTTTTTACCAACACCGAATATCAAACATGGAACAAATTGCCGAGCTCGTCTTTTCAAAAAATTCTGGTTCGAGGGTTTTGTTTTGCCTCGCATATTTAGATCAACCTTTATGAGAGCAAAGCACATAAATTTTGTTTTTTTAACGGTTTTTTTTACTTCAAATGTGTTTTTTGTTTGACACCTACTTTGACACTACCGCCCTAACTGGAAATATGCAACATTTTTCTCGACTCAATGCAAAATTCCAACTTTTTCCTTTTTTCGATAAAAACTAGATTATAATTTCCCTGTAGATATAAAGAACGGTAGAGAACTTTTTATATTTATCCATGTACGTGAATTTTGTGTCACGCGATGCAACCTTGCAAAATTCAATTACGCAGTTTGTTTGCACTAATTTCACTAACATGTAGTTGCGTAAATTTAGAAAAACAACTGAACCCGCTACTTTCAAAATTGTCTGTCATGTAAAAGTAGTCACTATTACAAATCTGTTAAAAGACATCGTTTAAACTCGGATAGATATTCAATTTTTCAAATTTTTTTGGGAAGCCGCCATGCTTTTAATCATGCTTTTCGAAATATAGAGGAAATTATGGTACCTCAAGAGGTATTACACAGTTCGTGAGCCTTAGAAATTACAATGAGTCAATTGTAAAACATCTAAGTTCTTGTCATTTATCTCGCGAAACGCTGACTGAGTATGAACTCATTTTAGCAAGAGTGGGTATTTTTGAATTACCAGTTTCAAAGCTTGGCGAAACGATTATATGCCCAAGACATCGAAAAAGGTTGGGGAAGTTCTGAATTTAGCGAAGGCCTTGTCAATACCCCACCCACCAAGGCGGTAGGAAAGCTATAAAAAATGGGTATGTAGTTAATCTCAAAATGGCGAAAGAAATCCTGAAATTCATGGAATGGTTGTCCCGACTGGATCAGGTGAGTCAGTTACGAAGCCCTCCTTGTTGTACTTATTGGAGAACTAGATTTATATTTCCCGCATTTTTGATGTTGTCCCTTTGAAAATAGTGTTAGACATTATCAGTTAGCCTCAATACGATTTCTCAAACTTTATTAAGACGTATTAACTGCACGTGTGATGATTACTAACTGGACACACCACGCCTCATCGATTCTGTGGTCAGCAAATTCGATTGTAAATTGATCGCAGCAGAAGAAAGACTGAAAAAGTACTCAGTTTTACAACAGGACTCAGTGATGACATTCCCCTGAGGCAGCCTCGTTCTCGGTGTTTCGCCGGTCATGCCCTTGGGGCGAGGAAAGAAGGATGAAGATAAATGTTAGGAATGAGCTTGCCCAGGATATCTTGAGAACGTTCTGATAGTGTGGCCTAAAACTGTTCATGATTGCTGAGGGAAATTTCAGAGAAAGCTTCAATTAGTATATTTCTTCATCCAGTAATTTGCAGTAATTGTTGGAAGAGACATAAAGCTACCATTGAAGAGTCGGCTTGGACTCCAGATCTAGAGAATAAGGCAAGCAGCGTCTCAAGCACTTCACCACACCTACACAAGAGGTAAAATATGGGATATGGCATGGTACAATTGAGCTCGGAGAGCATTAAATTGAAAACTTATAAACGAAACGTAGTCGGACATAGACAGATGCAGCCAGAGGGAGATCAGAGAAATGAGGGAAGAATGACTGTAAAATTGAAATAAATGGAGCGGTATAGCCAGAGAAAGAGGCGAACATATATTTGAGGGGGGGTAGAGTGTTTGGAAACAAATTGCTGTAGGAGGGAAAGTAATGACGGTGACTTCTCGTGATTAACCTTGTCTATCACGTTCTTTTTACAGGGCTCCTACGGAGGTTGCTGCGGCAGCTCTTTGCGCCTACGAGGAAGTGCCGTCAACACCAGGAATCGACGTTAGCCGTGTTCAAGAAGACACACTGTGGACTCCTCGGTTATGTTCCACTGATGAATTAGAAGTAGTGGAGAAGAAGAGGAATCAAACCAGAGGGTTAACAGCAATTGCATTACGTTCAGGTTTTTCAAGCTCTCCAGGGAGAAAAAGCGAACGACACGAATGCTGACCCTGGTCTAGAGGCGTTAGTCGCGGCCTATAAGAGAGGGCCATCTAAGATGCTAAGGACACATTTCCTTAGTATATATGGGAATAGGTTTAAAGTAAGCGAGTTGAAGGCTCTTCATCGACCTTTTGTTAATCTCAGTGATGGGCAAATAAAAAAAGCTAGAGTGCTCAGTTCTTCTTTTAAAGGCCGCAGTATTCTAGTAGCCAAGATACCACAGGATCGAGTTCAATGAGATAAATGTCAATTGGATCACTAAGAGGATGTGGTATTTGGAAGCCGAAAATTCAAGCTTGAAAGTGGTGAAGAATTAGAGATGCCAAACATAGTGCGTATTGCTGCAAGATCTACCATCCTTAACCAGTACCTTGATTTCTGCAAAGAAGAAAATTTCAGTCCTATGAGCAGCGTCAGTTTGTGGAGGATTCTTGAAGTTTAGGAAGCCTCCCAAAGAAAATCCCTTAAAGGTCTTGATAACACGGCGGCAGATGGCGTCGATGGTTTTAAAGCACTTCACAAGATTCTAGACGAATTGGAAGAAGTGGGGGCGAACAAGGAGTGGTGTGCGCAAACGTGCACATGGCTGGAAGAGGCTAATCTGTACTTGAAGACGACCTATAGAGATAACTGCAAAGCAGAAGACAAGTGTCCTGACCCCTGTACTGCATTCGCCTTGAGCGATCCCGCTGGCGCTGATTATAGCACAGATTGTAGCCACGACCATGATATTTCATGTAACGACTGTGAGGCACTGAAGGAGGCTATTCAGGAAATTCATTCTGCCATTCAAAAGTATTCCTCCAAAATAAATATCAAAGAGAAGGAGGATGATCTTCGACATGATGCACTTGTCGCTGAAGATAAAGTCAATGATTGGAAGGCCCACATTATGCGCGCCCACAATCCGGAAAAATGCAAGCAAAACATCCTGCCTTCTCTTCTGAAGGACGAAGTTTTCAAATTATCTGACTAGACAATGAAGTTTTTGCAAATAAAGTTTCGCGAAAAGCAACCAGAGGGGTTTGCAAAGAGAGGCATAAATTGGCATTTATGCAGTGTCATTGTCAAGAAAGGTGGGAAGCTCGAAGTCTCCTCTAACGCTCACCTGTTGAACAGTTGTAGCCAGTATTGGTTCGCTGTTCTCTCAATCCACGAGCAACTCATGACTCTCATAAAAATAACCCATCCAATCATTACAAAGGTGTACCTAAGATCAGACAAAGCGGGTTGTTATTACACCAGCGGTCTCTTAGCGGCCCTCCGAGTTGTCAGAAGTAGTCAGGGAATTGACGTTGTGAAATATGATTTTGCGGAACCACAGCACGGTAAGGATATTTGCTACAGGATTTTATGCCCGATGAAAGCCGCCATCAAACGTTAATGCAACAACGTTTTTGATATTTTAACGGCTTAAGACATGCAGACTGCTCTAAAAAAAAAACCAGTACGAGGAACGACAGCAGGATTATTCTTCATGTACAACAAGAATATAACTCGGATGTTAAAGAAGATTCCTCATTTCAACGCACTGCACAATTTTGAGTTTACCCCTGGCGGACTTCGAATGTGGAAGGCTTTGAAAATTGGAGCATACATATTGCTAGAAAGGGCATCAGCAAAATAGCATAAACTTTGATGAAAACGAGGAAAAAATCGAAATCATTTGAAAACAATTTTTCTCAAGTTGTCGTGTTATGTCTTGAGTATTGGATCTTGAAGGATGTCGAAAAGAACAAGGTAAATAAGGACGAAAATAAATATACAACAAAGCGTAGTTGACAAACATGGTTTACTTACAAAGTCTATCGAGGACACCTTGTATTATGCTTACAGGATAACATTATTTACAATCGATTATACTGCAAAACTGGTGCAAATACGTCGTTTATTACATGACCACTAAATATTAAAAATTCCGAAATATGTTTTTAACCTAAACAGTTTGCGAGAGACAAGCCCTCGCACGACAACTGCAAAGAAGATTCAACTATTAAAAAATTTTTTTTCGTCTTTTCTGACCAGAACCATAAAAGCACACAATTCATCGCGAGATGCGACATCTTTTTAACTCTTTTTTTCTTTATCCTTTAACTTTTTGCAACAGAACCGTGTGAGTGCAAGGCCGGACGGCTTTTACCGGATAAGCTCGCGTCCAACCGTCCGGCCATTCACACGTCAGCTTTCACTATGGTTTTCTTCGGAATTACGCGCGCAGGGCCGTACGGGTCATTTGCTAACTTCTTTTACTTCCAATGAAATAGTAATGATAATAACAATTCAAAGACTAGGAAATTCTGAGAGATTCCACTTTCCCCAAAATCTAACATGGGTACAGATTATAGTGCGGTGATTAACAAAACAGTCGGGTCTTAGAAAGAGACCGAAATCTTCATAACAGTCTTGGACGGCATTTAAGAGCCCGGTTAAGTCTCAATGAATTTCCATTTTTAAGCTGTGAAATAGTGGTGCCATGTCATTTTTGTATAAACACTTTCTTTTAATTTTTTCAATTAATGCTCATTATTACAAATTCGTCACAGTGTGCATCACATGCTTTAATTAAGCGGTAAGTTAATGAGCTTCTATAAAGATTTTGAATAAGGGAAACTGAGCTCAAAAACTTTTTTGGCACTAAAATATCGTAATTACAGTGTTATTTTTTTTCCTTTTTTTTCAAGTATATAGGTGCGCCTTATCAAAAAAGTGTTATAGATAATGTGAATGATAAATTTTGCAAGTGCAATGTACCAGCAATCACCTTGGATCGCGCCCGTAGTTTGTTAGCTAATCTATCGAAAACGTAATAGTAACCTTTCCATGGCCAGCTGTCTCAGGACAGCATTTATTTTGCTGATTTAGCCCATCGTTATAAGATCCCCCACGACCACCACAGGTAATCCACCCACCCTTTCCACCGCTACCACCTGAGTAACCTCCCCCCACCACCCCCCACCCCCCCCACCACCCCCCACCACCCCCACCACCCCCACCACCCCCACCACCCCCACCACCCCCACCACCCCCACCACCCCCACCACCCCCACCACCCCCACCACCCCCACCCCCCCCCCCCCCCCACCCCCCCACCACCCCCCACCACCCCCCCCCCACCCCCCACCCCCCCCCCACCCCCACCACCCCCACCACCCCCACCGAACCCACCGTACCCGTTTACACCATCTTCATTGCTGAATACTCCACCTAACCCTCCCTCAAGAAAACCCTTGCCATCTTTTAGGCTGCTTCCATTACCTCTGGGGTTGAATCCGCCTCCTCCGCCACCTTATGCAAAAAAAGTCATAGAATAAATTTCTTAGAAATTGACGTTAGTAAGTGTCATAAGATCATACTATACTTTCCCGTACAAAGGCATGTTTCAGCGTCAAAAGGGCTTCGAAACTCCTGCTAAGTGTAGTAGCAGCCGGCGATAAACGACGAAACAGCTGCGTTAACTTGGGAACTACAGGGTGAAAGGTCAAGGAAACTTTTAAAAGTTTTTTCCCCTAATTAGTGAAAACAATAGATTTATTTCCTTCAAACAGGCAAACATTTACACCTGACCAAGTTTTGAGCAAATTCTATTTTATCGAAATTGCTACCTCTTGGAGACCTGCAATCGAACTAAACTAAATTGATTATTTTGTATCAAATTGAACTGGAAAAAGGACTTGGTCACTCGATTATTCGATTTCACGTCAGATGTTTCATTTCGCTATTTGAATGTGACGTGATGCATACATCTCCTGGTTTGAAGTTTTTTCTAGGATGGCCCAGCTTTCTTTTCTCGACTGATTTTCTACTCTTTAGGCTTGAAAACTCTTTCGAAACTGAAGGTTTGGATAGATTATCTTTTCATGAACCTCTTGTCGGTGGAAAGGAGAAGAATATTTTATTTCTGGTAAAATTGAAATTGTGAAGTAACCAATGTAACTTATAACCTTACCTGAGTCCGATTCATCAAGACTCAGTGCACCATGTTTAGCTGTTGGTGACAAGGGTAAATTGCTCCCAGGGTTCCCTGTAGTGCTCGTGTTGGCATTGCACCCTTCTAGTCTTAATGTCCGTATTTTTACGCCTCCTCCACCCCCTGCTATTATCAAAGGCGTTCGGTCCTTCTTCACCACGAAAGTACCTCCACCGCCCCCTGGACCATTACGACCTCGACCAATCCCTCCCTCTTGACCAACAAGTATTTGAATGACATCTCCCTTGTCTAATTCAAATGTTCCTATCATTATTGTTCCTCTTCCTCGGTACTGAGGACTGCCGGTGGCAAATGGATGGTACCCTCCTGCTGCTCCTATTGTTTCTATTCTGTATTTACCAGTGTATGGCACAGTCCACAGTTGAATACCCTTGGACAGTGTAATTTGTCCATCCTGATCCTGACCAGCGTAATAGCTGCCCAATGATTTTGGACCCTCTCTTCCTACAGCGCCAAGGTTTGTGAAGATGGCTTGGAAAGCTGAATGACACCAAAGATCTGTTTTAGCGTGGTTTTTTTTTTTTGGCCCGTTTCCCCACCAAATTTTTTGTGTGTGAACAAAATCTACCTTTACTTAATTGATGGGATACTTCACTTACTGAAAAGAGGGAATTTTTCATTTTGCACTTTTTGAAAGTTTCCACACGCGATGCCCCTACGCCACCAGATTCCGGCATCAATTGAGGTCTCACGGGCTTCACACCATCCAACCCCCTCTCCCTCTCCCCCTCCCTGCCTCCGCCGGTTCGTGACCTGTAAGGTGATCAGATATCCGATATTTGATATTGAACCCATGTCAAAATTATTGCTGCTTTGCACAGTTCATGACGTGAGAAGTCAAATAGAAAGCATACATAAAATGTGTCAGTCATTTCAAGACAACGATTGTTCCGGTCTCACACTCTATTACGGAAAAAAAAAATTGAGGGTTTGAATCCAACATAAAATTATCGGGGAAGTAACATAAATCCCCGAGCATAAACTATCAATGACGTTCAAAGGACGTGGCTATAGCTGACATACCACAAAGATATGCGTATACTACTCTTAAATTACGCCATGTATAATGATACACGAAGATTGACTATGGAGTTTGAAAACAAATACTCATGGGAATTTTACGCTTTTTCTAATTTCCTAATTTGTTGTTAAAGTTCCGCCATGCGATGGCTGAAGGCCAAAGCTTGAAAACTCGATTTTTCGGGTTTAATGAGATAAAGGCGCGTAGGTGTTAGAAAACGTCATGCGAGTTATTTACACGCTTCGGAGTGCTATCCCAAAATCTCAGCTGGCTTCATCAAGTTATATTGTGTTCTCGGAACACTATATAGCAACAATGATCTTAAAAAAAAAAATGCCGACAAGCAAAGCCAGCCAGACGAAAACAGCGAGTCTTAAAGGAAAAATTGACGAGCGTACTTCAGTTATCATTGGAGACTCCATAATAAAGGATTTTCAGTGTATCAAATCAGCCAAGGCCGCAGCACAAGCCATCTCCTGAAACTACAATACGGGATACTTAAATGCTATGAGAGAACGTTTTTCAACAATTGAAGTACCTTTAACCATCAATAAACAGTCGAGTAACCTAGCAAATATTACTAGGGTTTACAACAGATTCTACGTAGTAAATGATGTGGTAAAATATGTTCTAAAGTAAATAATGTTTATCATAACATAGCGCGCGTGCGTAAGGACCACCTAATTCCTATCTAGCTACTTTGGCGTAAATCTCCACGTACCTACGGCCGTGCATACAAAACATGATGTGTGCAGTTTCTCTTTAACTACAAGTTCCCGTCGAGTTTAGCTGCCAGGTGTCAAATCTTTCAAGATTGTTTTTCCGTCTCATCTTGATTGAGATAGACCTTATGGAGTTCAAATATGCTGAATGATAATCGTTTTGAAAGAAAATTAGCACGCGGCTCATTCAAACGGCGAAATAAGCTTTTCAGTCGTGCAATGTGTGTTGGCGATAAGACTCAAGATGAGCGTAACTTTTAATTAACAAAAATTCTCAGTCATGAAATTCTTCCTTACCAACAGAAGAAACATTTCCAGGTACACGGCCAAAATCGGCCTGTGGCAAATCTTCTAGTTGTCGATTTTTGTTTCTTAGCCGCGAAAAAAAGCCATTAACAAAGCCACTGAGTATCTAACTTTCGCTTTCCTTTGGTATCTTCTCCATCCTACAGGAAATTTTGAACGTCACTGTTTGTAAGCGACAGGGATTTTTTCAACTTTTTAGCGGCCATAATCCGAGACTATTGCGGCAAACGAACTTGATTGATGGTAAAGGCTTTGCCATTCATTCATCAACCTGAAGGAGTGGCGAGAAAGGCGAGTAACGTGAAAGCAGCTGTTTGCCGATTTGAAACACACGTAAGAAATTATCTTATTTTTGTACTTACGTTGTTACCGCTTTTATCAGGCCTGGAAATCCTTGTGTAACACCGCGGTTTACATGATAAATAAATTTATTCATTGCATATCATAGCCAGATTAATTTTATAGCGTGTAGAAAGTTTAAGCAATAAAGATAAAAGATTATTGCTTTCATGATATAGTCATGATGTCTGAGGACGACTGTTACGGCTGTATAAAGCTTCCAGCAGATGCGAACGCGTTCATTGAAAAGCAAATGCCTATAAACGATGAGGGAACAAGTATTCAGATTAAAAAACAACTGGCCAAGCGTGGAATCGTTGTGAACTCGTTGCGAAGATCGCGAGCCAAACAGGGATGGACGCTGCAGCGCACTCACTACCGTCAACTGATAAGAGTAGCTAATGAGGTGGAAAGACTAGACTATGCACAACAAATCCTGGATTCCGGTGATACATTCCATAATTTCATATTCTCTGATGAATGCTCAGTCTCGCTATAACAATACAGACGTACATGCTACTGAAAGGTCGACGAGCCATTGAAAAGAAAATCAAAGCCTAAACATCCACTTAAAGTACATGTATGAGCAGGAATCAGCCGAGAGGGAGCTACTAAAGTGTGCATATTCGATGGTATAATGGATGCAGAACTGTACTGCCATATTCTGGAGACAACCCTTTAACTATTCATCAATCAGACCCTACCAAACAACAGAGTTATGCAGGATAATGATCCCAAACATACGTGATGACGAGCGAGGACCTTCTTGGAGGAGAATGGTATAAACTGGTGGCGTACTCCCCCAGAGAGTCCAGATTTAAATCCCATCGAGAACTTATGGCACGAACTGAAATTTTACTTATAATCGAAAGTGAAGCCGCAAAACAAACAAGAACTGGTTGACAGAATAAAGGCGTTTTGGGCTAAGAGGGTGACGGAAGAGAAATGCGCTAAGTACATCGACGATGTCCTTAAGAAAGTCATCCCAGGGTAGTGAAAGCGAAAGGAGCAGTAACGCAATTTTAAAGATCGATTTATGTATTTACATTTAAATTTATGTATTTACGTCTTTTATGTACCCATTATTTTACGCTTACAAAAACTTAAGATTTTTGAAAAATTTAACAAACAGAACAACAAGAATATTGGCAATTTTATGACCCGCTCTCTTAAACAATAAACAATAGGCTACTCATGCCTGTGTCATACCATCAATACGTTTACTTTTTTTTTTAGTTGAACCTCGCTCTTCCACAAAAAACAGTATGGTCAATTAAGGTCTAACAGAATCGGGCATTGATATTCCTTGATTCCTTGCTTATTCTTTGCACGTGTCACAAAAACTAAAGCGCGAGTGTATATTTCATTAAACTAAAAAACAAGAATTTTAGCTCTTTCAAATTACCCGACTACTCACATAACAATCAGAGGACTGAAATTAGCCCGCGGTTCCGTTAA